TCAGCTGCTCTGCAGGAGAAACATAGGCATTCTCCTCCCATGCAATTTTCTGCCTCTGAAAACCTGATGGAGGAACAGCTCTGATTGGTTCTGACTTGATGGTGTACAGCAAAAATAACGTGTAGCTGCCAGTGGGATTAAGAATATTGTACCACTCAAAAAGGGAGTATCTTTATTTTGTTAGGCTTTTAATCAGAATCTTACTTAAGAATCTAATTTTAAGTAAAATTTCTTCCTAAATATGTTATGTCTAGAATGAAGCCATGACTATATCAGTATTGAATAAAGATTTGGTAAAGAAAGGAAAATGTAATTTATCGATGTTTATAAATTAACTTTTTTCTTCAATACCCTATGTGTACATTTAGTAAAAAACGGAAATATAGACTTTATTACATATGTATGTGAGAAACTAAGCATTTTATGATTCTACACTTAAAAGATTTGTTTTCATTTTTAGCGTGATAGTTTACAATGGCAGCCTCTCTAGTTTGTAACTTTTAATTGGAATGTTTCAGAATACTGAACATTTCCAGACCCTAGGATCTGTTTGAATATCTGCCTGTTTGCTATATATCGAGATTAAGAGACTGAGCCATTGTCTGCCTGAGGATACATCTTTCCATTTTTAGTATACGTGCTGCTGAAGTAAGCACCTGAGGATATGTCTTAAGGCAGTTCTTTGTTTACTGGAGATTCAGTGGTGATTTGGTAGGCTCTTGGATAGGGAAGGCTATAGTAAAGCTCATTTCTCTGACCTCTCCAATCTCCAGAATTTCTGCAGTTGTCCAGAGGGAAAGTATTGGAACTTAGCACTGAACTGGTTAGAAGTCCTTTGATCTTTACTATGTTGACACAACATGTAAGTTAAAAAGCCAGTTAGTTATTTTATAAACCCATTTTCTACATAATTCATTATACTCTAAAAATAACTGATGTGTATGTACATATGTATATATGTAGGTAACTTTTTTCAGTTATGTAAGTTTTACTAAGTAAACATATTTGAGCCTATTGATGTGTAGATTTTATTATTGTAACATGACCTTGTTGTTGTATACTGTCAAAACTCACCCAAAGCTCACCTTGTAGTAGGTTTTCAGAGACAATAAATTGCACAGGAGATTACCTGTCTGCTTAACTTTGGGAGGTTGCATATTAATAGACTCTCCCGGAAGTATGTTAGAGAAGCTAGTCATCCTAATTTTCATAAACTATATTCTCCCAAAGAGCTAATTTTTATATGTTAACTTAAGTTCCTGAGCGATACACATTAAGGTGCCAGCCCTGTGCCTAGCGTTATTCCAGGTTTTGTGGGGATCATACTAAACAAAGAATGACCTGGTTTTCTTTTGACTTCCTGGGAAGATCTAAAACATAAAATAGTGGAGCTATTAGGTAGTGGGTAAGTATGGTACAATTTTTTTTTTCTCTCTTCTTTTTTATTAGGAAAAACATATTGGTACAAGGAGGTGAGGGTTGGGGGCAGAAGGGTGAGGATGGGCCAGGATGCAGTTGCAGAGCTGTACAGTTTGGTCGGTGGGGGGAGCAGGTGAAGGAGATGATGAGGGGATCAGATGCTACAGAGGAATGACAAGCATTTTCCAATAGTAATTAAACCAACTGTCTTATTGATTTGGGAATTGGATGCCAAC